AAAACTATTTTTAATTTTAAAATGAAAATTACTTTGCATGTTGGATAGGTAACATGCAAAAAGAAAAAAAAAGACATGAGAAAAACATTGCTTTACAAACCTTAAGACTTAATAAAAAATAATTTATATTTTGTGAAAAGTATTGTAATGTTTACTGATAATCTGCCAAATTTTGTTAACATACGCTTACTAATTTAAAAGTTATAGCATGAAAACTATAACAAGGACAAAGTGGTTACGAGATCAGTCCCAGGGACTGAGCCTGTGCTGAAAGAGTTAAAGCACTCAATTCCATTCTCTCTCTCATTAAGAAGTACCCAGCTATTCCTATGTTCCACAAAATCAAATATCCAGTGATCCAGAATACACTGATTACACTTACTATATAAAGAAGGGTTATAAAAGAAAATACATATTTTTCCTAAAACAATTTGGAATCCAAGTATACTGCTGTAATTCTGTTAACCATAAAATTACAGAAAACTTGGAACTGTTAGAGTTCGTGTTAGTTAAAAGGAAAATCTCTGACAGATGTGTAGCTTTATTTTCAAATCAGTTAGCAATACACACTTAATTTTTTAATGATAGTGCAAGAACACTTTCTGGTAATTATACAATGAGCCTTTTAACTTAAGTTCAGGTTTGAGGTGCATCTAAGATGCCTTTTGACCCAAGGTCAGGTTCCATGGTCATTCAGGAAGCTTTTTGACCCAAGGTCAGGTTTTGATTGCATCCAGGGAGCCTTATGACCTAAGGTTATATTTCAAGGGCATCCAGGGAGCCTTTTAACTCTATCTGCACAGGCATCATTTACTGTGCATGTCACGAGGTTTTAGTGGCTTACATTCAAAATTTTATTAAACTACTTTGTGTTTATGTTATACCAATTAGAATAGCATAAAATCATAGCTAATAATCCATATTTTAATAGTATATAAGTTTCAAGTTCTTTATTATATAAGGCAGTATTTAAAAAAATCTTGAATTTCACTTATTGTGAGAAAGGTGACACATTTTTTGTAGGCATCCGATGTTCTCTATTTTATTCATCACTCCTCCAATAAATAGGAAAGTTAACATAAATTACTCTCTAAAATCTTCATTGCTCAGACAAACCAAAATTTTTATATCTTTCAATTTTGTTTAGTTACAGAGCCGTCAAATAGAAATTCAGATCCCTCTTGCCACACCTACCTGTCACATCCTTTCTTTTAGGATTTTTAATAGTTCTCTCTTATATTTAATTCTGTATTATCTATAACCAATAGAAAGCCAAGGTTATCATCTATCACATGCTGTATTATATTACATTGTGTTTTGATCAGAAAATTGTCAATTTCTCTTTTAGTACAAGCTTCGTTTTCATGGAAAAGATAACAACTAGCGTGGGTGAATTTGTAACTGCTTTTTTGCATAGTTAGAGGAAATTGTCTGCTTTTTGCATGTTATTATTCTATGTTCTTTGGTGCATTATTTAAGTAAATAAAAATTAGTTTGTGCATTACTACCATTAGTATATAAAAGTAGGGTTAAGTGTCATCGACAGTTGACAGCAAGAAGACATGAGTAAGTACTTTATTTGATGTTTATTCGTTATTTATTATTATAAAAGTAATTAAAATGTAAAAATTGGGATCTCTTTAGGTTATTTAAGGTTAGATTAGGTAAAATAAATCATAATATAAAAAAAAAATTCCCAAGGCACGTACACGAGCAGCTCAGAGTAGCTTATGGGTAATGTAATTCAATAGTGTACTTAGGATAACTGAATGTAATTTTATGTTACAATTTGAAGTCATTATAGAAAGAAAAAAAAAAGGTGATTTAGATTCATTTAGATTTTTTTTTTTTGGTGGTTACGAGGTTGATTAAATTGACCAACCGTGTATAGAGTTAGGGGTAGAGAAAATAACAGAGAAGATAGAAAGTTTTACTGAAGAAAAACGTTTTTAAATGTATTTAAGAGGTTTTAAAGATTACACAAATGCAATTTGAGATTTTTGCGATGAAGAAAAGTATTTTTAATCTTAACATGAAAATCGCTTTGTACACGGACTATTCAAAACAAATACTCTATATTTATGGATAAATCCTTTTTAAGTTTATTAAAAATACTTCTCCAAAAAGTATGATTTTTTGTACATGAACCACTTATAATGTTTACTGAATGTTATACACACAATATTAAAAGTTAATGGTATTAAATCTATAAAGACTTTGAATGAGTACAAAGAGGTCATGTGGTCAGTCTGACTGAGCCTGTATTGAGAGAGTTAAGCCAAGGCTAAGTTTCAAGTCCTTGAAAACACCCCACAGTGATCACTTCCATAATGTAGACCAAATATTTTCATTTATAAGCTAATGAATTATAGGTTCATAACAATTGTTTGTAAATTACACTAAAACCCATAAATTACAAGTATACCTTAATGTATGTTTATTTTTAAAATGCTTATTTTCCTGCGAGATATCTTGGCATAGTAACTTACTGACTGAACATGTTATGGAAAATGTGAAAACATATCAATGTCAATTCAGTGCTGGAGAAGACATGAAAAATCCCCCCCCCCCCCAGTAATATAAGGCTTTCACTGAATATTTTGAAATTGAGAAATGAACAATACAGAGAGAAGGGAGAAATGTAGCTTAATATATTTATGTGTTGTTTTTTATTCTTGTGCGTAGCATTTGAAGATGAAGAGTCTGAAGAAGGTTACCAGGTGGAGAGGGAGGAAGTAATTCCAGATTGGTTAGTTGAACTTCCAGAAAATTTGGATGTATGTATTGCTCAGCGGGATTTTGAAGAAGCTGTTAACCTTGTCAAAAAAGGTATTGTCAAAGTGTTTTATCCAAAAATTTAGAGTATAATATATATATATATATTGACAAGATACTGCTGGTGGAAGTAACTAAGTTTCATTTTGCAGCTATTTTGATCCTAGCTAGTTTTTCATGTTTTACATTGATTGATTAGGAAATTAAAATCTAGGTATTGTACAGTTTCTTAACACAGAAAAAGGATACTCTAGTACATCTCATGAAGTTTCAATATAGATAAACAGTTAAAACTCCAATGAGTGGAATATTGTGAAAGAAGCATAAATCCTCTTGGAAGTTGAAGAACTATTGATAACAAACTTTAAAGAATAGCATATGTTTGCCTTTTCCAGTAAAACATTACATACTTTTCAGAAGAGTGTGATCAAAATCTGCCAAATGTTTTTTGTTGAGCATTTAGAAACACACCAACAAATTATGTGTTTACAAGCATATTCCCTGCCCTCCCCCTTTCTCAGCTGGCTTAGCAGTAAGTTGAATAGATTATAATGATGAAAATCAGGTTTTGATACTTTTGGTGGGCAAAAAACAGAGAGTTCATTGTGTAGCTTTGTGCTTCCCAACAAACAAAATGAACCCCATCCTCAAAAAAAAAAAAAGGAATAATAATACCTATCCTGTTATTACTTAGACTGAATATAGTAATGTTATAGTATGTAAACTAACAGACCTAGTTCAGTAGGATGGTTGCATTTCAACTGCTGACTAGTGGATTATTTTCATTTGATACATATAATACCAAATTTAATTATTTTTTTGTCCCAAAGTTGTTTTTTCTCCAGTCAATAAGTGAAATTATCTGGTGAAGTCCTATAGTGATCAATCTAATGTTAGGTAAATTAATCTGGATTTTTGATAATTCCTTTTCTACAAAGGTTTTCCTAGGGCAAACAAACTTACATATCAAAAAGTAAAACCCCCCTTTAACACAATTTGATGAGAAAAGGATTCAGTAAAAGATCATTACTCGAAGTCATTACAGTAATAACTTTTTATAACATGTTAACATTGGATTAACCCTATCACCAAGGGTATCCTTCACTGCACGTGACACAAGGTTTTAGTGTCTTGCATTCAAAATTTTCATTAAACTACTTTTTGTCTATGTTATACCAATTAGAATAGCATAAAATCTTAGCTAATAAACCATATTTTAATAGTATACAAGTTTTTGTTCTTAATTTTACAAGGCAATATAAAAAATCCTGAATTTCCACTACTGTGACCTACATGACATATTTTCTCTTCGCATGTCATCATCTCTGTTTTATCCACCACCCCTAGAAAAAGTTTGAAATTAAATGTAAATTACTCTCTGTAAAATTGTTATTGCTCAGACAAACCATAATTTTTATAGTCTTCAATTTTATTTGGTTACAGAGCTATCAAATAGAAAATCAGACCCCTCCTGCCACAATCACCTGTCATATCCTCTCTTTCAGAATTTGTTGATAGTTCTCTCTTACGTTTCATTATATATTACCTATAACCAATAGAAAGTCAAGGTTTTTTCATCTGTCAAATGACATATTGTGTAATGTTATGTTCTGAACAGTTAGATGTCAATTTCACTCAGAGTACCAACATCGTTCCTGTGAGAAAGTTAATGACTAGCTTGGATAAATTTGCAGTGGCTCTTGTGACATAGAAAGCCAGAAAAATTTGGAAAGGTAAAGGAACTTGTCTATTTTTTGAATGTTTTTAGTCCATATTCTTTGGTGCATTATTTTATTTCTTGATTTTCTTGTTTATCCTTTATGTATAATTATAAAAGTAACTAAAATGTAAAAATAGAAATCCTTTTAGGTTTGTTAAGAATAGATTAGGTAAAATAGATAATAATAATAATAATATTATGATAAAAATGTTTCACGAGACACACATGCGAGCAGCTCGTGGGTAATGTAATTTGTTAGCATAACGTGAGCTGTACGTTTCCCAAGTGCTTTACAACTTATGGGGTGGATAGTAGTTAGACATGGTTCAAAAGACAATAAAAGAATAAAACTTAATTATAAATAGTTGTATACTGTTACAAACTTAGAGCTACTTAGGATAAATTAATGTAGTTTCATGTTACAATTTGAAGTCATTCTAGAAGAAAAAAGAAAAATTTAGGTTTGTTATTTTTTTTTTCTTTGGTGGTTATGAGGTCAGTGAAATTGATTGATCCTGTATAGAGATAGGGTTGAGAAAATAACAGATAAAATATAATGTTTTACTGAAAAAAAAAACGTTTGAAATGTATTTAGATGGTTTTTAAAGTTAAACAAATGAAATTTGAGATTTTTGAGTACAAGTATTTTTAATCTGAACATGAAAATTACTTTGCACACGGACTGTTTAAAACAGATGCTCAATGTATTCATGGACAATTCTTTATTTTAGTTTATTAAAAATACTTCAATAAAAAAAATATTTTTTATATGTGAAAGACATAATGTTAACTAAAAGACTGCCAAATTTCGTGAAGATATACACACTATATTGAAAGTTAGAAGTATTAAATCTATAAAGACTTTAAACAAGTACAAAGAGGTCACATGGTCAGTCAAATTGACTGAGCCCATGTTGAGAGAGTTAAGAGGTTTTAGACGTTACACAAATGAAATTGAAACTTTTTAAATGAAGAAAAATATTTTGAAACTTAGTAAGAAAAATAAATTTACACTCGGAACAGTCAACACTGATTCCACAGACAAATCTTTAGTAAAAAATACTTAATTAAAAATCTGATTTTTCATTTATGAAAGACCTGTAATGTATATTAAAAGTTATAGTATAGAAACTCTGATAGTTACAATGTTGGTGACATTGCCCTACCTAATGTGGAAAGAGTTAAAGAAATTCGTACTGTTAACTTTTACATCTTCAGCCAAACATTTTGAATACCCTTTTCAATATCCTGGTTGACCACTTCTCATGGCCTTCTATAATCCTGTTAATTTTCCCATCATACCATTAAATTTATACTTTTTAATTTTATAATGCTTTTATTTAATTTTAACCTTTATACCAATTGTAAGCCAGTTTGGTTTTTTACTTACAGCCACCTTTTTTGTTATATAAGGAACAGGCCTATTTTGAATATTTAAAAATTAATTAATTTATTTTCCATATTTAATTTGTATCTTCATTTAATTCAGTTTTCCATTTTACAACAGGTAATTCTGGTCACATCCTTCCAAAATTTGCTTTTTTGAAAGTTGTAACCAAAAGCTCATTATTCCTGATCTCCATATGCAGTAAAACATCAAATCTAATTGAGAAATGATCACTTGCACTCAGATGTTCACCAATCTCCACCCTCTAAACTATTTTTGTATTAGAAGTTAGCAATAGACCTAAAATAGCTTTATTCCTAGTAAGTTATCTGACCATTTGAAGAAAACCACCATAAATGATTTCTAAAAATCTCTCTCCCTCGTGATTTTATTTGACTCTTAACATTTCCTTGTCTAAAACAGAAATCTCCCATAATTATAACCTCATTAACAGTTGAATTCCTTATCTCACTGTATTTACAAATTAATTTCATCATTTTCATCTGGTGGTCTATAACAGCTTCTAATTAAAAGCTTTCTTTTGCTATATTCATTAACAGAAATTCAAACTGTCCACATTTAACAAGGTTAAGTTATTTTCATTATATCAAAATCCACCATACCAACTGGTGCTTTTAAGTCATCCATTTCATTTCTTATTCTTCTAGCATTATGATAATAACAATTTATCCTACCCTAAAACTACTTCTGTACATTGTTTGTACACTAATTATAATGTCATTTGCACTTTAAGTCTCTGCATTATCCATAACACAAGTAAGCTATAGCCTATTTCTTTAAATTACTTTGTCAATGTCCTGTACTTATTAGTTAGCTCCTCTGAGTTATTCTTTTCTATATCATTAACCATATGTGCACAACAAAGACTGCATCATTATCCGAACTCTTTACTGTATCACTTGCTCTGTCAATTGCCTCTTCCACCCCTTTCCATGGATAGCATATTCTAATTCTTTTCTCCGTATTTATCCTACAGCTTATCCTATCCACATACCATACCAAAGAATCACCTATAACTGTAACCTCTACGTTTTTTGTTCCCATCCTTATCTGTCCCTTTTGAAAGCTGTTACTTAACAGAGTCTGCTTACTTCAGTCAAATCCACTACATCTACATATTAAAGTTTTTAACTTCCTGAAAGTCATTATTAGCTACTATATCCTTTGCATGTAAAAACTTAAGTCCCTCTGGAAATCTTGCTGCCATTTCTCATAGTTTACATTTCTCTATATATATACTGCATCTACTCTATCTCCAATCTGCAAACTAAAAACAAGCTGCACATCTTCACTACTAGCTTTCTTAAAAGTGCATTCCAGTCTTGAGTTCCCAAGTAAAACTTGTTTCTTGCACTCATCACACTTTAAAAACTTTGAATACTTAACACCTACACTACTATTAACCATTGTAAATTGGGACTAAATAAACAACACTAAGTAAAACTAGCTCTGTTGGCAGCTCCTTTAAGCCTAATGTTTGAAAATTAAATATATTACACTATTTTATCATTACTTTATCTTCACACTTAAAGTCATTAACTTTAATTTAGAGGTACAAAAGAAGTGACAAATAATTGGTCTTTAGATGCCACTTTCATAAAAATAGAATGTACTTGCAAATGGTGAATTGCAAATGGAGTATAATAGTCAAACTAATATCTTCTAAGCCTAATCTAAAGTTAGTATTACTTTCATTATCAATACAAAATGGCTACAATTAACATTAATGATAACCTTAACAGATTTGAGTGCTATGTTCCAAAAAAGTTTAAGAGATTGGCTTTCAAATGTCTTCACCATAGCACCCTTGATCTACTAAATATTGTTAATACACAATAATGAACTTCATGACAAAACAGCATATTTTGATATTTAGAACAATAAAATAACAAGGCTCTGTTTTCACTGATATGGAAGACTATCTTAATAAGAAATCATTACTGACAAAAAGTAAGAGATTACAAAAAAACAAAAAATGGATACTGATAGAACTGGGAAAAAAGTAAAATTTTTCCTTATTCATTGAAACTTTTTATTTTATTTTTAGGAAATGAACATTTCTTGGAACTAACTAAACATGCAGTTGTGAAAGAAATCAGGTAAATAAAAATTAATGTTGTGTGAGCGACAATAATATATTTATGATAATCTTATTAATATTCACGTGTAATTTTTAGGGGGGGGGCTGATTTCTGTTTAACGCATTTGCTGCCACCAGTAGTATTAATAATTATTACTGTATTGCCAACCACACTTTTCTTTTTTTTACTTAAGCCAGGTGTCTGATATTTATATTGGTAACTATAATATGTTTATTTAGCTCATTGTTTTAGCCAACTGCTGTAAAACACTTATATTAGGTATATATTTTTAAAACGTATCTCTTACTTTTTCTGAATATCTTTGTATTTGACTTCCACAACTATTAAGGTATTTTTGTTTTGTTCAATACAAATGAAATGATGTGTAGCCATTGTTATTAATATTAAATTCTGTTATAGAACAAGAATAGAGAGGAGGATAAAGAACCTTGTAGATGTGCTCATGAATGAACTTCGGGTGAGCCCAGATCGGTCTCTTCAAGGTGGACCTAGAGCTGCCCGTAGAGCTGTTGGCTTACTTATCAAACTAGGAAAGTCATCACAGGTATGTGAGATGTTCTCTAGTTTTGTGGTTCATCTGTGTTTTTTGAAGATGAGTATGTATACATAGGACAAGTAAATTATGCATTACATTTGTTTTATTCAGAACAATAACGCTGCACTGTATTATGCACACCAAAGACATCAAAATTATCTCGCAGCTTTTTGTGTATTGCAAAAACTTCTTTATAAAGTTAGTTACTCTTTTTGGAATAAAGTTAAATTGAAGCAGTATTTCTTAAGTTTGATAATCATATAATTGAAGTAATGGTAATTGATCTAATTAAATGCACTAACAAGGTTTAAAACATATCCAGTTTGAGCTGTTTTGTTTTTATGTTCATTTTATTTGGGTTATCCACTTTTTATTATGTATTTCTTTTGTTCAACAAATATTACAAATATTTGAAGTTCAAAGGAATTATTTTGTTAAATTAATTATGAAGAACATTTTGTCATTGCTTCAAAATTCAGACAATACATAAATATCCAGGAATATCAGGTTTCTGTAACCACTGTCCATACGGCCTATTTAAAGAATATCTTTATTTGCATTACTGCAAACACCATTTATTTTTCAAAGATTTTTCAGTGAGGGTTGTGTGATTTCTGTGTTTCAAGAAAACCGGCACGACAAGACTTCCATCATACAGCTACGCAGCCAATGATAATGTGGGTGTAAAAGATGGAAATAAATGTGAATTAACAGAAATGACATTTGCCACCTTGTGGTTGCATTATAATAATACAAGAAATATTCATATTCCTCTTAACTTTTCACAGTTCTCCCAAAATTCCGAAGACAGAAACTCATTTATAGATAGGAAACTCCCACTGCTGAATAAATTATGTATTTATTTTATTTAGTAGTTGCATTTTACGATGCACACCAAAGACATCTAAATTTACTTTACAGTTTTGTGTATTGCAAAAACGTCTTTGTATAGCTATTTACACTTTTTAGGAGAAAATATTTGTTTAAATGTCATAGTCGTATAATTTAATTATTGGTAAGTTATTTCATCAAAACAACATTATACATATCATATATTAAATAGTAAAATAAAAATGAATAATATGGGAAATGGTTAGAAAAAACAAGCACTAAAACAAGGTTTTAGCTATATCCCATTTTAGCTCTTTTGATTGTACTATTCATTTTATTTGGGATATTTCTAATTTTATTAACATGTGAAATACATATAAATACTATAGCAGCTTATTCCAGTAAAACAAAATTAGGTACACAAATATTTGAAGCTCAGTAATTTTTTTCTTAAACTAATATCTTAAGTATGTTTTTTCTCCTTATCACTGGCACTGAAAATGTCATTGCTGATAAGTTCTGGAAAAAAATAATAACAATGCTTTTACATTTGACATGTATGGTTGCTGTAGGTTGAGTTGTTATTTATAATTAATTGCTATGATATTGTAGAAAACTTGTATATGTACCAGGAATGTCTTATTTATAACTGAAGAATGTTTTTGTTTTATGTTTTATTTTTCACATGTTGCCTATCTATCATGCAAAGTAATTTTCATTTTAAGATTAAAAATAGTTTCATGTATCAGAAAATTTTGAAATTTCACATGGAAAATCTTTATAATGTCCAGGTAGTTATCAAACGTTTCTTAAGAAAAAACCTCACATATTATCTGTTATTTTCTGGAATCTCTGTACGGGTTTAGAAGTTATGATCAGTCTTATAACCACCATAAAAAATTAGGAAATAAATATAAATTATGCCTCTTTCATTCTAGAATGAACACAGATTACAACACGAAAACATAAATGTTTAGATGAAATATCTTAAATCTCATAACATTATACATTTATATGTATTTATTATTTTTATTATATTGACCTTTTATCCGTGTCTGGCTAGCAATACAGAAGCTACAATGATGCGGCACACATGCATTTATGTTACTGTAACCAATAACATAAAACTGACCTTTGGTCTTTACAAAGTGACCTGTCTTGTCTGTGTTTTAGTAGACTAGTACTTTGTAAAATACAGTCACATTTCAATTTTTATACATTATATATGTATATAAATTATTGCTATTTAGAAATAAGTTGTTAAACGTATTTTTCTTAAAAGATAAAACAGTAACTAAAGAAGAAAAGCAAACAATTATCTCTTCTAGTTATGACCTTTGTACTTGGTTGCCGTTTGATGTAGGTTGCTAAGCCTTTAAAAATTTTGCATTGGAGGATATGAAACGAAATAATTTTTCTTATGTTTTATACATTCAGTTGAATAACCAAAAAATTATAAATTACCATATTGATACTATAGAACTCAATTATAATTTATCAATTTTAGTAACAAGGCTGTATTTGGGTCTAAAAGATATGAAATTTCAAGCAGGCTAAAGATTCAACTTACCTCTATGGTGTCTTGTATTGAAAGAAAGATATAACGACTTTATATTTGAAAGTAGCTGAGAAAGCCACTAGGGGACATTCTGAGGTTTTGATTGGTTATTCATGTCATATATAGAAGTAAGTGTATACAAGGGAGCATTTCCAAAAATGGAAAGAGGTGTGCAGGGTGCCACTGTGTTTGAATTATTACATGAGCAATGTCTTAGCAAATAGAAAAGATAAGACATTCTTATTTTATAATCTAGCTTGTCAATATCGGTAATTTGAGTTTCTAATTAGCAAGAAACTATAGACTTAGTATTTTGACTTCACAAACATCTAATTTGAATCAGTGCTGCATTCAACATACCACGTGATACACAAAAATTGATGTTTAGCTGTGTTTTTTTAATATTTACTTTAAAATTAAGAAATTAAATAAAGTGTAATATTAAGATTTTAATTATAATCTACAGTTTGATACCAAACTTATTGACGTAGATTCATAAAATAGTAGTTCAATAAAATTTTGAATGCAAGCAACAAATTTGATGACATGGTCTTTGACCCGTGACCAGTTTGGAAAGGGTTAATGCTGAAGACCAGAGCTCAGACTGGGAAAATTAGTAATGCTGTGGCAAAATATTGTAACTTTTGGTTTTATCTATGTATGTGCATAGTGCATCAAGAAATAGTTTGGTTATAATGTTTGGACTTTTATTTGTGGTTTTATGTTTATGTAGTTCCTCTAGAACCCAACAAGCAGTGTAATATGAGTTTTTGTCCATTGTTGTCATGCTTTATTTAATAATCTCTCAAATAGCTAATCAGATTATTAAACTGTTTTACCAACATACCTTTCTATGTTCAAAGTTATATATTTCTCATTGTAATGCTTTATGTTGAGGCATCTACATCAAAAATGTCTGCTGAAAATCAACATATATATATATGTCTATCATTAAAATCTTAAATTTAATATCTGAAGGTTTCTTTTCCATCATTCTAAATATATATACATGCTAAGTAACTTTACCACTAATTTGTTTAAAAATAAAGCTATGGTAAACCTTTACTACGATACAGGGTGTCCCAGAAGTCTGGATAAAGTTAAACATATTTCTAATGTCGGTTGTACATATTTCAGGAAATAAAATACCCTTATGGCACGGTATACCATGAATTGATGTGTATGGCTGTTAATAGCATGCAATTTGAATAATAAATAAATTAATAATACATTGTGTGTATATTTCCATATGGGTTCCATATTTCTGGGATACCCTGTACATCCATTTGCATCATGAAATTTATTTTGTGATGAGTAAAATAACACAAACATTCAGAAGTAAAATTCAATACAGGTGTATTTTTTTATTCAAATTGATATAACCTTTTTTCCAGGCTTGCAACCTGTTTTTGAAACATCGCAGTGCTATCTTAAAGCATTCAATGAAACAGAAAAAAATGGAAGGTGCTACTGTTCCTTTTATTAAGCGGCTTAGCTCAGTCTTTTTCAACAACATGATGGAAACAGGTCGAGAATTTAATAGAGCTTTTTCAAACAGCAATAGCTGTGCCTCAGGTATGTGTTAAGTTTGAGTGCAAAGAACGTTTTTTTGTCAGTTTGATAATTATACTTTCTTTGTGCTAATGAAACTATTTTAATTTGTCACCAATTGAGGTTTTATTTGAAGCTCTAGAAACAGGTTGTGGCAACACTAAAATTATCTTAGCTAAGGAAAAAAAAATTAATATTTGTGTATGAATAAAATAAATACAAATTGTTGTTCTTATATTTTGTATAATGAAAATATTTAATGCTATAAAAAATACACCAAAAGAAAGTGGGGGAAAATTAGTCATAATTATAAAATGTAATGATGGAAAAAGACTTTAGTTTTATTTGGTAAATACATCAAAGTCCACCAGTTGTTAAAAGTTCGTAGAAATCATGTGGTACAGCTTTTAACAATTAAACTCAATGTTATTCCAATGTTGTTTTGCTCTTAGCAAAAATACTTGCTGATGATAAAACCTTGTCGAAATGTTGTACATTTGCTGTTATGTTAAACTTATATTAAAGTTTTTCTTCATTACCCATTCAAGCCGTCTCAAAGTGGTTCCTCGTCATTGAATTTTTCATAATTTGTTGTTGACATATAGGCAATGTAAACATGTTTTATGATAGTACACTAACACTTCACTAAAACATAGAACAGTAAATAAAGAAGTAAAGCAAACAATTATCTCTTCTAGTTGCGACCTTTGTACTTGGTTGCTGCTTGACATAGGTTGCTAAGTCTCTAAAAAATTTGCACATGGTGGATATGAAACAAAAACATTTTTTAGGTTTTATATATACTTCTGAATAACTAAAAAATCTTAAATTACTACATCAATACCATAGAATTCTACTATAATTTATCAAGCTAGGTAACTAAGCTGTATTTGGGTCTAAAAAAATGTGAAATTTCAAGTAGACTAAAGACTCAACCTACCTTATTGAAATCTTGATTCAGAAGAAAGATTAGAAAGGCTGAAAAAACCACTAGGGAGACATTCTGAGCTTCTGATTGGTTATTCATGTCAAATATAGAAGTAAGTGTATATAAGGGAGTGTTTCCAAAAATAGAAAGAGGTGAGCGGAGTTCCACTGTGTTTGATTTATTAAGCAATATCTTAGCAAATAGAAAAGATAAGACCTTCTTATTTTATATTCTAGCTTGTCAATATCTGTAACTTGAGTTTCTTATTCATATAAAACCATAGACTTGGTATCTTGATTTCACAAACATCTAATTTGAGCCAGTGCTGCATTCAACATACCACGTGACACATAAAAATTGATGTTTATCTA